TACAAATTAGTACCGCATGAAATGATTCCCATCTTGTGGAAACAATCGTGCAAGTCGTATTAGACATCGCCATTCACACCTTGCCACTTCGCTGCTCCCAGAATTGCTCTCGGATATATCATTTTATCGCCAACGCCGATCAGAATTCGCAATTCAAAAACCGTCGAACGCATCCGTAAACGTTGATGTATGAGTAGTACTTTATGACGCGTACATTATAATCGCATACTCCCTCAGCTAAAGTCTTGAAAGTTAAGTTACTAAGGAAGTTTAAATTAAGTTCGTCCTCGTGCTGAGTAATATATCAATTTCTTTATAGTCTAATTTCTGTTGTGGATAAAAAAAATAACTTTGATTTTCTCTACGCCTTCATCAATATTACAAGCAGTAGTTGGTCAGTGCAGCTGTAAGTAGTCATTGAATGAACGATCATTTTCCTCAATGCAGCTGGAAAGCAGATTTAATGAACCCCGTTCGTGCTCTTTTGGTTATTTTATTAGGTATTAATCGATATTCGAAGGCTTTAGAGACATACAAAACACATCAATATAGTCGACTATAATGGTTTAATTTAGTTTAATTTGACCTGGCTGACGGCCTGAATAACATACAAACGTTTCTTTGACTCACTCGTTGCCTGAGTAGGGACACTCATGTTTTTAAGTGCGCACAGTGGCCTGCCTTATATAAAACCATGTTTATATATTAAACCAAATACATTCCTTAAATTTTTGATACCGGCTCAGCACAGAGATCATCGTGAGTCAGGGTTTCATCGAGCCCCCTGTCAGTGATAATGCAGAGACCACCATGCTTGAGACAGTCTGGGCAACATTTATGGAGAAGGCAAGATATATTAAAATGCTCGGCACATTATCGTTACTAGCAAAGTGCTTGACCTTTATACAGATTGAGCGCGAGGATATTTGCGTATATCTGTCCACTTAATATAAGAACAAGGGGACGGATAGGGGTACCGTCCATCCAACGTGAGAAAATTGGCGGTAACGCCCTCAGCGATGTAAATAATTAAAAATTGCGTATTCAAATAAAGCGAGGTGAATGACCCTGGTTTTGTTTCCTCAACCACAGCAACAGTTGCTATAGTAAAATTGTTACCTGTTGGGCCTCTTCCGGGCATAAAAATAATTGAGCGAGAGACCTTTACTGATCTCGTCGGCTGGCGGAGCTATTTTTGATTATACACGTCGTACATTATATTGACTGATGGTCGGTTTATGGCGTTGTTAAATTGAGATCGCGCTAAATTGAGCAGAATGTTGATGTTTCGTGCAATAAACAGCATTTTCTTTCCATGCTAGCGTGAATTGGCGTCCACTAGACTTACTGAGCTATTTTAACCACAAGGTTCGACAAATCGTGACCACTTTCTAATGACGTTTTCAGGACATCTCATACGTCGAAGCGTGGTTGTTCTTATCGATATATCTCACCCAGATTTTTAATATTTCATAAATTTAATATCAGAGGGGACCAGTAGCAGAATGTGACGTGTGTTCATGGCGTATCTGCACGTGAACGTGAGAATCATCACGTGATCATACTATTCTATCTCAAGTTATGAAACATACATGATACAAGTTGTATATCCCAAATATACATTGCGGTCATGGGAGACCCAGTAACCCGTCGTATTGCCTGGCCTTGGAAGTCAAGGCTATTTTTTTATGATTGCAATGTCTGTTAAAAATAGATTAATTGGACTTTAAACAAAAATATGTACATTTATGATATTTTAATTGACAACATGTCATATTAGTTGATGTGCTCGGGTTTAGTATTTACTATGATCACGTGATGGGAAGGTATTACCCAAATACAAATTAGACATTAGAATCGAACACGTCTCCTTGGTTACAAGTCTCCTTGACACAAATTGTTTTTTTCCCGAGAAAAGCAGTTAGACGAAAACGTTTACAGAAACACACACGTACATGGTTTGTTTTCACGACGTAGAAACGAGCAAATTAGACCCCGTGGAATGTACAACATAAACAGAAGCGAAAGGAAGTCGACGCAAAATATACAACTTGGAAGTTGAATACAAATGAATATCGCATTCAAGCACTCCAGTTCTAAGCTATTCTGACTTCCGGTTGTAAATTTAAAGGTATGGTGTGAGCGAGTGGGCAGAGAATCTGTCTGTTTGACGGGTCAGAACAGAACAAAATAAACAATATTGAATAATCAAAAAGCTAGGATTCCAGTACGAATAAATATATTATAAGCCTACTCGAACGTGACGCTGGTTTGTGTTTATAAAATAACGTGACATAGAAACATAGCCTGAGCCCTCGGCTACTTGGTAACTCCTCATTTCTCTTAGTAACCTCGTCATTAAGAGTGTTCATCTTAACAGAGAATTGTGCTGGGTCGTATTCACTTATAGGGCGGCAGTCTTCGTGCCGCGTCCTGTTCGAACTCATAGCAACGCATATAACGCGTGTAAAATACATTGTTTATTTACATGAAATTCGAACACGCGCTGCGCGACGACCACCGCGCGTTAAGGACGTGGGAAAATATTTTTAAATAACTGGGTGTTGATAATATTTTTGGAGAATGTTGAACTTGAACACCGTTTTGGTGCTTATATTGCACACTAGAATACTAATAATTTTGTCATATATTCTACTCTACGTGGAATGATGTGATATATACGCCAATGTAATATCAACGCATCCACGGTGTTTAATATTGTTCAATGTGGTAAGCTATTGTTGTGTACATCAACACTGATTGTCGAGAAGTGTTTTCTACGATATTACCATGCTCCGTTGAACTAGCTCTATACCCTAGCAGCTAAATGTGGATACTAGTAAATCTTACATTGACAAGCTAACAATGCCGCAGTCGCGATCAATCACACAACATACTGTGAGAAAAAGAAAAAAGAATCGCCGCATGACATTGGGAAGTGTAATCTACTTAAACACTGTCACAACAGCGGTTGACTACTACTCCCCCTCCTTCCGACATTCTTTCCCCAGTGGGGGGAACGCAGGTGTTAACTTCTTTTGTTTTCCACGACTTAGTTTTATTTTTGAATTTTTGCGTTGTTTTCAGTGCTACTGAGGAGAAACTTTGCCGGATCCTGTGCGTATGTTTGTCGGACAAAGGGATGCTATGTAATTACCGCCTGCGATGAGCGCACACACAAAGTGCGGTTAAAATTCAGGTGGTCAATTTAACAGGTGTTATCTACTGAACAAACTGCGTGTACTCACATTTACATCAGCTGCTACTCCTAAGCCAATTCCACGACAAGTTCCTCTCGAGTGCACACCGTTCACACGCAACGGCATACCGCTGTAAAAACTACCAGAAATCCGCTGAGTTTTGAAAACAGACAACAAATAGGGAGCTTAAAATGTGCACACTTTATTCAAAGCTGTTATAAATAAGTGTTTTGTTTTCAATATTATTTCAGAAAACACCTGTCATATTTTTTGAATTTGTGAAATCGATTCGCTTCTACGTTTTGGAACCTGTCAGTCACGGGTGTTTTTTTTTTTGTTTTTTTGAGGGGGGGGGGTATACTATAAAAGCAATAAAACATTTGAAAGTAGACATGGTATCCGGCCCGGAAGATGCATCGGAAGAGACGCTTTCCTCCGTGTCAATGATACATCAGATAGGTTACTTGACAGGTAGCTTCCGTAAAGCGACGATCACCTGACTGGTAATGATACTAATATCTGTATACCTTATGAGATAGCATGGGTATAGATGGAATAGCTATGGCTGTTAATCCGTCCTATAGATGGAAAGCCACGTATAGTTATGCGATGACTGCTTTGGGCGTTGTCCAAAGGATGCCTTATCATGTACGTTTACTTATCTGACTATTGGAAGCTTGTCGATCTATCGGATCAGTGCGGTCTTCTTCAAGATACTCCCCGCGAGGTGTGAAGGTCAAAACAGATATACTATGAACAAAGTCAACGACCCCTTATAAAAAAGGAAAAGAAAATATGCAAAAGCAGTAAAATACACATGGTTAGAGTGCATTTTTGTTGTCGAAACTAAATACGAGGCGCGGAAATGCTAAAGGATGTTTTTTATTTGTTTAAGATTATTATTGTAGTCTGGAAAGCACGATATCAACGTTTATCTACACCCCAAAAACTGGTGTAGTGAACTACTTCTGCAAAGCGAAAAGGTGACCGCTTCCTTGGCTGAATTGTGATGACGGTTTAAGATTTCGCTCTAACTTGAGATATTTCGACGGAATTCATTGATTATCGTTTTATCGGAGTTTTAAGACTCCCGCTCTCTTTGATGTGGCACTAGAAAGTAAAAAATAGCGGCTACGTTAAAACAGATTGTATCAATGAATTGCAACATGAAATAACAACAGGGATGACCGTGGATCGAGTTTATTGGAACAAAGCACGATCCTATCCGCACCTATCAATTACGCAGCTTATAGTGTTTCACCGTTGAATGTTGTCACAATCCTTCTAGGAATATGTGGCAGTCGTGGCAGTGATTGCGTGATGAGAAGAGAGGAGAAAAAAGCACTGGAATATTTTACGCTGAAATAGACGAGCAACGTGCGTTTGATTGACATAGTTGAAATGTTTGGAATAGTTTATTACACGTGCACAAAAGGAAAGAACAAAAAACGATTTAAGCGGAAAGAAGTTCAGGTACCACAGTCATAAAACCTGTTTACAAACATGTCAGTTCCGAAAATTGTCCATTACTGTTATACTACACTGTCTTGTCAATCTCTTTGCTGGACGTGTTTACGCCACTGTTTACGTGTAGAGTCTCTGTCCATCACTCTCGCAGCGTGATTCATTTACCTATGTATTTAGAACCTGTCAATTACAATGAGAATTCAGATTCACACAGAAAAACCACTCTTTGACATGCGTTGGTCATGTGACACACGTCATTAACGCCCGCAATCAGTCGGCGGATCGGAGTGTATATAAAGAGGCGCTCTTTTCCTTCAGACAATTTTGTTGGCAGTCTCGGGTACTGAGAAAATCCTCCGTAATCGCCCAATTTGTTTCGAATCTTTCCATAGAGAGAAGATGAGAATTACCGTGTCAGGATGTCGCTTTCTCGGTCTACTGGTTGTTCTTATGCACTTTGTCCGGGAAAGCTGTACTCTTCCCGCGTCGCTATCAACGAACCCAATCGGAGGTGGTCGTATGCAGACTGAGAATACAGCTAATGGTGATGTCAGATCTTCAACTACTATGCTGCTCAATCTATATTGCGATACCGGTACATCGTTGATTATATATGCAAACGATATTAGCTCAACCAACCAACGAGAAAACCAACTTGGTAAGTCTTGATTTGCTCTCAATGCAAAATTCACACGTTCTGCTTTAATGGAAAATATACACTTTTTGACGTTGGAAAGTGTGTTTACTGGACCACAGTGACGTCAGTTATACTAGACACGTGTAAAAATCTAACAACTATTGAATTCTAATCATGTCCCTTATGAGAAACAATATATTCTACTATAAGTCTAAAGTTGGTCGTAAATTGTGGTTACTTGGATCCAAGATATGCCATGTAAGTGAAATACAATTCGCAATCTAAATGCATGTCGGAGAGAGATTGTAAATCCTTCGTCGTTGAAAACAGTCAATTCTAATTTGTAATTAATGTGAAACATGTCTGTGTCGTATTTTCAAAGTTCGAAGACAGAAATTCGTTGATCGATACTGATCTCCCTGTATTTTTGTTGGAAACGGTCTCTCCTTCTTTACGCCAATCAGTCCCAAAACATTTATCCCATAGCAGCGAGTGTCATGTACATCGTGGTAGAACCAGTCACGACTACTGTGGTGATATAGCAACACTCACCAAACATACGTAAGGGTGTGTATAAGCGCACTACTGACTGACAATCGATTCTGACAACTGGGCAAACACTCTGCTAAATTATACGCATAAATAACACAGTTCAACGATTGACTGGTTGTGAAGCACATTAAATCCGTTTTGACGAGTGTGCTT